TGTATCAGAGACTTTCATTCATCCTGGATTGTGTCAACAGATACAAATCCAGTGCCTGCTTTGTAGAAATCAATATGTGGTAAATTGTTCAGCAACGGAGTTATGTCATTTGTAAATAGAGTTTTACTTCTTCCTTTGCAATTTGGACGTGTTTTACTTCTTTTTCTTTTCTAACTGCTCCAGCTGGAACTTCCATTCCAATGTGGAAAAGCAGAAGTGAAAGCAGGCATGCTGTCTGGTGCCTGATCTGGGGAGAGTGTTCAATCTTTTAGCCTTGAGTATGATGTTACCTTCAGGCTTTTCACAAATGCCTTTTATTGTGTTGAATAACTTCCTTTCTGTTCCTAGTTTCTGAGATTTTGTAATTATAAAAAGACAATAGACTTTGCCAAATGCTTTTTAAAAAACACTTGAAATAACCATGTGAGGCTTTTCTCTCATTTTATTAATGCTATGTGTTACACAGATTGATTGATTTTCTTGAGTTGAATCACACATTAGTGCTATATATTACACAGATTGATTGATTTTCTTGAGTTGAATCACACATTCCTGGGATAACCAAATTTGGTTTTAATTTGCAGTGCTCTCATGTCCAGTAGTGTTGAATATCTACTCATGTGCTTGCTTATTGACTATTTGCATATATTCTTTGATGAAGTATTCACTTCCTTTGCCCTTTTAAAAAAAAATGAGTTGTTTTTCTTCTTGGAATTGCAAGTCCTTTCTCTGATATATGTTGTGCAAATATTTTCTCCCATTTCCTGGCATGTCTTTTAGCTTTTTGGCAGTATATTTTAAGAGCAAGAGTTTTTAATTTTGAAGTACAATTCATCATTTTTCTTTCTTCTATGGTTTTTACTTTCTACGTCCTAAGACATTTAACTTAATGCAAAGATTTTCATCTCTATGTAACCTTAAAATAATTGGTTTCTGGCTTCATCTTTACGCCCTCTGGCTACTCTCCTTTGCTTTTATCCATGCAGTGACTATGAAGACTTTGCATGCTGGATGGAAATGTGTGTGAAATGTGTGAATCAATGCTTGGTAATGGGCCTCCTCCACTAGCCCATGTCTGTGTTGCCTCCTACGTGCTTGTGCACAGCCGGGCAGACGCATCCACAGGGTTTTCTGGAATCCAGTTTTCTCCTGTGTTGCTCTCCTCCTATGGCCCAGTAGAGGGTGTTTGTTTGTGTCACAGCAGTAAGCCACTAATTATGACATCTTGTGTGACTTTCATAGAGGACAATCACATTTGTTAGCACTTTTGCCAGGCCCCCATTATAGACTCTTTACCTATTTTAACTCACTTAACCCTCAGATCCCTGAGAAAGAAGACAGAGGCTCAGAGACCTTAGGCTTCACATCACACAGCCAGTTGGAGGCAGTCACTGAAATCCAGAGTGGCCTAATCCTAGGCCCTTTGCTCTTCCCAATATAATAAACTGCCTAGGTTGTGGCTGCAGTTTACATAAGCGAACACATCTTGGGAAAGAACATCTACTTGATTTTTCCCTTTTTAGGCACCAGATGCTTCTCCAGTCTCAACTCAGACACTTGGTTCTAAATCCTGCAGTGGGGCCTTAGGACAGAGCTTCGCAGAGGATGGCCCTGGGCCCCCAGGTCAGGAACCGCCTCACCCACTCCCAGCCGTGCATGTCCTCAGCAGGGCCGCAGAGGACGTCAGTGCAGTGGGTGCACGGCCCAACACAGCTGAGAGGGCAGGTAGGGGTCGAAGTCCTGCCTGCTCTTGTCCTGAGGGTCCATGGGGCTGCGCCTTCCCAGGGGGGCATCCTTCCTACAGAGGCCCCGCCCTTGAAGTGAAGCCCGCTAAAGCCCTGGGCTCGAGGCAGGTACACAAGTGAGCTCGGCTAAGTGTCACATTCCACCCTCCTGGCCACAGTGACTGCTTAAAGGGAGAGCATGCAACTCGAGGTTCTTGGCCATGGGGGCTTCATTTGGAGGCTTTCGTTTGAGGGCTGTGGCTCTCTATCCCGGTAAGGTGAGGATTGGAGCTGCCGTAGCCAACCTTGCAACTAAATGGGGCTGCATAATAAAGTTAACTCCCAGAAAGAAAAAAAAAGGTCAAATATTCAGAGAGAAAGCCCCATCCTGATGACTTTGTTAAGCCCATGGTCAAGTTATGCCTGAGCCCAAATCTACTTGTGGACTGTCGAGTAACATTAGCAAATACATTTTCTTTTTAGCTGGAGACACCCTGGCTGTCAGTTGTGACCCCAAGCCCAGTAGCTATTCTATCCACACCTCCACATGCCTGCTCCCTGGACCCCTCTCCGGCTTTATATTTTCATCATAACACCTGTTACCTCTTCATACCGCATTATTTACTTAATGTATTTCATTGTTCTTCTACCTTTGCTCCTCACCCTCACTAAACTGTATATTCTCTAATGGTCAGGAATTTTATTTGTTTGGTTCATGAATAGATTCCTAGTCCCTGAGATGAGTTCTTAGCACATGGCAGGCATTCAATACAATTTTCTTGAGTACTATACCTTCTCAATGGATTGTTAAGAATTACTACAATTCCATACACGTAAGTGAGAATCAGCACAGTTCTAGAGTTAACTGAGGACCTGTTTTCTAATCAGACAAGTGACTGCATGTCCCCATTCAAGAGTGTCACAGAGCTCACTCTGCATGGGCACACATGCAAACCACAGCCTTCAGCAAGTGCAGGGCGGGCACTTACCTATTGTGACGGGGCCAAGAGCCTTGGAAGCTGGCAGTGCTTTTCAGTTGGAACTGTTTTTAAAATATATTTTAAATATCTCAATATGTTTATAGGACAACTGTTAGATTTTACTTAGTTTTGCATTGGTGTATATGCTATTTGTTATTTATTGTATTTTTATTTTGTTCGTCTCTACTTTTTTGCTATAATGAGGTATTTTTTCCTCTGAAATTTGCAACTGAATTAGGTGGGCCAAGATGTCTTTTCTCTCTCATATGTGCCATTGTCAGAAAATACTGAGAATTTCTACCTTTGGGGGATATTGTCATCCAAATTTCCTTTACATTTTTTTAGTTGTAACAACACAGAATCTGGCACTGATCCAACGGGATTTTTGTTTTTTGGGTTTGTTTGGGTTTTTTGGGTTTTTTTTTTTTTTGGCTCATATCAGCCTAGTACCCACTATTTACCTACCATCTCTATCATGGACTCTGATACTATTGAGTGTTTCTCTGACCGTGACTTGCCCAAAACCCTCTCAGGAGTTGGTGGTGACTTTTGCTGAAGTAACTATATGCTTCACAAGACCCCTTTCCAGCTCCCTGTCATCTGGTCTGAACTATCACTAGGGAGAGGTTTTCCTTTGGGTTAACCAGCTTCTCAGTGCTTGGTGGGGAAAAATGCATTATTTCTGACATTCTCCTCTCTGACAATTGAAGAGTGACAAGGGTGTAATGGGAGGAAGGAAGAAGACAGGAAAGGAGAAGAGAAGGGGGTTGGGGAGGGCCGATGCTCTGTCTGTTTCATTTCCCTCTTCTTTGTACCCTCCTCCCAGCCAGCACTTGCTGAGCTGATCAGAGCGTTCTCAGGTCAGGGCGTAACACTGTGCGTAAACTGGTTGCCAGTGCAACGTGGGTGAAGCAAGTGGCCTTCCACACACAGCCCAGCCACATCTCTTCTCCTCTCTGGTGGTGTTTCCCTCTAAGAAATGCAAATGTGATCATACCAAAGCCACATTTTCTGTAATTGTCAAGTCCATATCATTTCTTCTTACATTGCCTTGTAGATCCCTGACCTAAGGAGCCTTGAATCTTCATGTGGGCAAAATTGCCTCCTCGGTACTGGAGCAGCTGCCTCCAATAAAGAATCTTCAAGCTCACAGGCACAGAGATTTGAGCAAGGCCACATGGGCCATTAGTAGCAGGGAAGAGAAGAGCAGCCAAGGCCCAGGTCAGCTCCACCACACCTGTTCTGACGGCCATCTCCCCTCATAGGCTGCAGTCCGCAGAGTCTAACAACCCCCAGCTGCTCACCCCTGCTCAGAGGTCAAGCAGGCATGTCACCTCCATCTCTCCTCTATTAAGGTCAGGGCTGCCCCTGGGAAGGAGCTATTCCGAGGAGATGAGAGGCAGAGACAAGGAGGAAGGAGATGAAGAAACATTTGGATGTATTTTCTGAGTCTCATTCCACCTTTTCTCTTTCCTCACAACTGAACTGGACCAGAGCAACATTCTGTGCATGCAACTCTCTGTTAAAAGATGGCCCTGGAAGTCCTGACTGGTATGGCTCAGATGGATGGAGCACAGTGCCATAGACTGGAAGGTCGCAAGTTCTATTCTCAGTCAGGGCACATGTCTAGGCTGTGAGCTCAGTCCCTGGTTGGCGCATGTATGAGAGGCAACCAATCAATGTTTCTCTCTTGTATCAACGTTTCTCTCCCTTTCTCTCTCCCTCCCTTCCCCTTGCTCTAAAATCAATAAGCATGTCCGCAGGTGAGGATCTAAAAAAAAAACAAAGATGGCCCTGGAATTTATGGTCCACATAAGCCTAGTAGGGACTCTACTGGGGGCTGGGATCATGGCCAAAGGAAAAACAAGCAGGTGGCTGAGGAGAGGGTGCGGGCAACAGACAGGGGCCATAGGGATAGAGAGCGGAGGAGGTAGAGGCTCGGGCCCAGTTTCTTCCTCCCGTCTTCAAACCTGTATCCCTGATGGCCCAACACCCAGCTCTTTTGTCGGGGCAGGGGGTTGTGCAATCTTAGTCTGCTTGAGGCAAATGGAAGCAGGGAGAGGGGAAGAAGAATATAAAGGACAGCGATTGCAGGGTGAACATGTAGAGTTAGAAGCCACTCTGTATCAACGTTGAGGCCTCTGCCTCCGAGCCTGATAAAGTCAGCACAATAAGAACCTCACCAGCCTTAGTTACTGCATTTACTCTCTGAGACAGTGATCAGCTGAGGCCAGTGTGGCCGAGAAGGAAGAAGAAGGGGCTTGTGCAAGGGCTGTCAGAAATCTCCATTCTTGCTCTACGGCTGATACGCGGGTTGATACTTGCACAGGAAGTGTTGGTGCTGGTTGCATTTATTGCCTTCCCACTGTAAGAAATCTGTAAGAAAATAAACATTTTGATGCATCAGTTCTATATTGAGCTTAGCAGCATTTTCTGGGTGTTTTGCTTGGAAGCAGAGATAAGGTGTCATGGTGAATTTTACGTGTTGACTTGGCTAGGACACAGTGCCCACGGTTTGCTCAAATACCAGTCTAGATGTTGCTGTGAAGGTATTTTTAAAAAATATGATTAACATCAAAATCAGTAGACTTTGAGTAAAGCCCATTACCCTCCATTATATGCATAGTCATCCAATCAGTGAAGGAATCTGGAAAGGAAGACCTGGTTTTCTCAAGAGGACATGAGGCTGTGAACATGGACTGACAGGCAAACTTTTTTTTCGAGAGCTTTGTCCAGTTGAAATCTCGGATTCCTGGGAGGGACCATGGGAGGTACCTGGTCCACTGCTTCCCTCCAGTTCATTGGTCCTGCTTCCAACCCTAGAGATTCTGATGTTGTAAGTCCGAAGTGATCCCTGGAATTCGTATTTTTAAAATGTTCCCCAGCAGACTTTTTATGTGCCACTGAACCTCTTTCTAACACTTCTAAGACTGCACTTACAGTAACAACTACAATGTTCACTTTGGCTTGGTTAACTCGAGTGATGAGTTTCTCACTACTTTCTGTGGTAGCCTGTATTATTTTTCAACAGTGCTCATTGTTCAAAATTTTTTGCCTTAGTGCACATTTTGGTAGCTTCTACCTATTGGTCTTGCTTGTTTCCTTTCATCTGAGCTTCCCTATGACTTTAACCGCAGCTGTGTGGTCTTTGGGAGTCTGTGCAAGTCCTTCCTTCTTTGGCAATAAAGTGCTCTTATGTCTGAGGGTCTTCCTGGACCTGCTCTCCTTGGAGTTTGCCTTCTAATGTCCACCATTCATCCTCTGCTGTTAGGAAGCTTTCCCGGTCTTTTCTGTGCATAAAAGCTTTATATCTCATATGAAAGTTAACCCTGTTCTGCGTGCCTTCCCTCCGGAGCCCCAGCGCCGGAGTCCTCAGTCCAGACCGCCCCAGGCCCACTTCCCGCCTCAGAAGGGAGTTCTGGTGAGACTACACTGGCTCTAAGCCCCCTGGGATGCTCTCTTTGGCATCAAGCCTCCTTCTCATCTTTGCTATTCTGCTCTCTTGTTTTACACCTGAAACCTTACACATCTCTTCCTGGCTGCGGTTCTCAAATGGGAGTGACTTTGTTCCCCAAAGGGGCATTAAGCAATGTCTGGAGGCATTTTTGGTTGTGACAACCTTTGTGTGTGTGTGAGTGTCTGTGCACGTGGGGGTGCTAGTTCAGGGTACGCTAAACAGTGTATGGGACAAATATTATTAGTATACAAATGTCATCGTACCAAATTCAAAAACTCTCGTGTGTTAGCCTAAATAGCCAAGAGTGAAGGCAAGGCCAGCAAGAGGAATGAGGGGGCTTAGGTGATGCGCACCCCCTGCGGCTGAGGCGCTGGGCACTGCAGTTGGGAGAGGAAACCAATGAGAGGGAATGACCCAGGCAAAGATGAGGTTTCTGGGCTCCTGGGGATCCTCACCATAAAGCCAGAAAAAAGTCACACATATGTGTTCCCTATAGTCTGGGTTTCCCGAAATGTGACATATCTCCCCCTTCCCTCCTCGCCCCGCCCCATGGTATAAAATAGGATTTAAAAATAAACGTATTTAGGGGAAAAAGTGAGTGGATATAAAGAAAATGTTAAGTAAATAACTAAACAGCGGATACATTGGCAGGCCAGGTTGTTAAGTGGTTACAAATGACTGAAGGCTGGTACACAATGTTTACAACAAGGCCACTGTCCCGCAGAACAGAAGAGGTGCTGGCGTGGAATGGGGGGAGGGGGCAGGGATGTCCATTTTCCGCCTGACAGGTAAAGGGCAGAGGGGAGGGCGATGCCTTAGCACTCACCGTGTTTGGCGCTTATTTCAGCACAGTGCTCGCTCGTGCCCACAGACTTGCCGGACCAGGTTTTGAATGACAGCGAGGCCCCATCGGCCCACTGCCACTGCTGGTTCTGTGGGACAGAGGACACGCAGGGGTCAGCCGCCCCTCCCGGGACCCTTTCCAATGCAGTTTTTATCATAAAATTGGGAAAGCACAGGAATGTGAGAAGAAGGAAAAATAGAAAGTCATTCTCTAGACATTACTAATCTTGATGCATTTATTTCTGGTGTAAACGTTTTTGTCTATCACAATATTTTTATTGTACTAAAAAATGTGGTGATCTTTAAAATATATATTCAACTTTGTACTTTGCTTCTAAAACATTTTTTAATGGTAAGGATGTGCCATAATTTACTTTAATAATTCCCTTAAGGATTGAAGTTTATATTGTTTTCAATTTACAATTATTACAAATAGTGCTGCTATAAACAACTTTGTTCATAAAAGCTGTTTCTGTGCTTAAAATTATTTTCTTAGGATAGAATTCCTGAAATAGAATTAACGTTCAAAAGACATGAATATTTGGAGGTGTTGATATGTATTATTGCCGAACTGCTTTCCAAAAAAATTCATCTGGAGGAATTTACATCCCCCCTCACTGGGCTATTTCTCCATATCCTTAAAAACATTATTTATTAAGACAAAGCAAAAGCCTTATAACATAAATCATGTTATATCATGCTAATTTGCATTTTTTTTGACAACTAGAGACATCGCACACTTTTTTTTTAACCTCATCTGAGGACTTTTTTTTATTGCCTTTAGAGAGAAAGAAAGGTAGAGAAAGAGAGAGAAACCTCAATGGGAAAGAGAAACATCGATTGATTGCCTTCTTGTACGTCCCCCAACCAGGGATTGAACCTGCAAGCTGGGGATATGCCGTGACTGGGGATCGAACCTGCCACCACTTGGTTTATGGGACAATGCTCCATCTCACTGAGCCACACTGGCCAGGGCCATTGCACACTTTTTAGAGTGTTATTTGTTACTTACTTTCCTCAGTCATAAATATAAAATAATTAAATTACAAAAACTATCTATTGGAAATAGTGTAAATATTTATTTTATCTCTGAATGAGAGAGCTCTGGTTGATAGCAGTGTAAATACATAAAAAATGGAAAATGAATTGTGGGAAATATGTGTGACATGTATGGCAAAGTTTGATCAAGGAGCAGTCTGGTGTTCTGTCCTGTGTTCCTCGTGCTTGTTTGGGTAAACCATAGAAGCCCCACGAAGGATCTGCACGCTGCAGACCCCACAGAGGCCTCGGCAACAAGCCCAAAGCCTCCCACGCCGCTCCTTACAGTGAGGTAGTGACAGAGAAGAAAATGAGGGTCTGTGCAAAAAGTTAAGGATAACATCAAACACATTATAGCATCTAGGACAAAGCTTAGCTGGAAGTTTCCAACTCGAAGCTAAGATATAATGGAGATTTAATTAAGCGAGGGGCCTGTAACAGGTCTCTGTGTGTTTATATATACATATGTACCCATCCATACTTACACAAACAGGTTTTTGAAGGCTCTGTAAAGCTGGCGATTTTGTGCTCTAGGATCTGGGAGGACTTTAATTAGATAAAAGGTCTATAAAATGATGTCGCAGATATTGCATTCTCCACTGAGAGCCAGAACTGGACCATGACCTCTAGGCCTTGTCTTATCTCACATTTGAAGGCAGGTAACGAAAGAAGACCTACTATGCAGGTCCCTTGTCAGGAGGTCTGGTGGCCAGTTCCCAGAGAGGGGCTATCTCTTGGGCTTTCCCCCAGGGGGCGCTGGTGAACAAAGTCTGGGTTTACCTTCTTTGGGTCATGCAGGCCGATCCATACGGACAGGTTTCTTTGATAGCCGCGTATGTACTTTGCTATGACTTCGGCCTCCTTTGAATTCTCTATAGTCGCCAGGTGGACTCCGTTTCCAAAGGACTGGCACTCGAGCTGTGGGCAAGGAAAAGTGGCCACGATGATGCCTTTGGGTTTAAGAGCATAGCCCTCACCTCAGAACCCTAGTGTGCGAGGCTGCATGGACTAACATAGCCCCGCCTCCTCGGGAACTAGTAACCTAAACCCCACGGAAGACTTCCTGTCCTTCCTGTCACCACGGGCGAGAACACACTGTCACAAGCATCAGATCTCAGAGGCAGAGGCAGCTCCAGGCCAGGGCGTGAGCTTTGGGGTCCATGGAGATGCCTGGGGTCCTGATCTGGCCTCTCATTAGTGTATGTGACCTTGATAAGTCACCTCACCTCTCTGAGGTCAGTTTCATAATCTGTAAATGGAGAAAATAGTCACTGCCACACAGGGAGTTGTTAGAAGGATACATTTACTATAATTATGCATTATAATACTGCATTTCAAATAAATCTAAGAAATCACTGACTGTAACTGAATATAGAATGTGCTATTTTCTAACCTGAAACTTACTGTCCAGTGAAACAAAGCAGATATTTCATATATATGCATTTTATAGATAGAGATACATACTTTATGTTATGCTCTCTCGAGGTTATGTTACGGGATTTGCCTACATGATAAAACTTTAACTTAATATAAACAAGGATTGGCTGTGGTTGCTGCTCCACTGCGTGCCTTTAGGGTCTTCCTTGGGATTGGATGTGGTTCCTGTTTGGTGATAATTTAGTGCCCCCACTTGCCACCACTTCACAATTCCAAAATGCTTGCCTACTGGGAATTTCACCTGACTTTCAAGTGTGTGAGGCATGGAAGCCGGACTAGCCGTCAACATTCGGTGGGCGCACCAGTCACAGAAACTCCTGAGACAGGAGAGGAAATGGGTTCCAAGCATTTAAGTGATATTTTCCCCCCAAGTTCACGGTTGGTAGTGACGACGCTGGAGCAGACCTCAGACCTCTGCCTCCTAAGTCTGAGGTCACACCCGCCATCCTTCTCACTGTCCCCTTGGTCAGCTCCAGGAGTCTTGAGAACTAAAATCAGCCGTCAACACTGGCAAGGAGCCAAGGAGCAGCAGCAGTGTCTAGAACCTTCTCTGTCCTCTGGTCCTTCATGGCTATCTCTGCCAAAGCTCAGTATCAATCTTGTGGGCATTTGTTTTCCTTGAAAACCTGGATTGAGCATCTACCACGGTGCCATAGACTTTTGGCAAGTTATTTAATAAATCCCTCTGAAAATCTCAAGAGATGAAAGTGTTATTCCATTTTTTTAAATCCTCACCCGAAGAAATTTTTTTTCATTGCTTGTTGGGGGCAGGGGGAAAGAGACATCAACATGAGAGAGAAACATCAATCAGTTGCCTTCCGTATTTCCCAAGCTGGTATTGAACCCGCAACCTAGGTATGTGCCGTGACCGGGGAGTGAACTCACAACATTTCGACCTGTGGGTTGATGCTCCAACCAACTGAGCCACACCAGCCAGGCCAGTGTTATCTCATTTTATGGCAAGAAAACCTGTGAACTGAGGTACATCTGTGACGAAGGAGCATCAGTCATGACCTAAACTCAGGCCTGTGGTACTCCCAGGTCCCCAAAGAGCTTCCTCCTTGCTTTGGCAGAATTAGTGCTGGAATCTCCAAGGACAGGCACACAAATGCCCTCCCAAGATTTATTTTCTCAAGTTGCTTCCCACAAACAGGAGAAAATCCATCGCCCTCTGTGAGCTCTTTTTCTTTCCCTGGACAGTCTGGGGACCCCTTGTTTGTTTAGCTTTGTTTCTTTAAACTGTTGCTCACGTCAGCTCAGGAAAGGGGTGCACCAGGGCTGACTTCCCTGGGTTTGCTGGTTGCTCTCATCAGAATCTTGGAAAGCCTTGTATGCTCACACGGCACTGGAATTTTCTGTTTAAATATGTCACAATCTTGCATTAATTCTGCACTTTTTAAGGCCAGAGAATACTTGTATTCTCAGTGACCATCTCACCGTAGGGGTTCCATCATTGCTGAGCTGTTTATATCGGGGATTCTGGGGCCATGCTGGGCCCAGTTCACCCCACATCTGCCCAGGAAGCGCCCCCACAGTCACTTCAGTTAAGCAACCGCAATCCAAAGAGACAGTGGCATGGACTCCCCATGCACCTCTGAGGTAACTTAGTTTATCTGGCTCTTTGCTATCTCTTAGACCAAGCCTCAGTTCGGGAAAAACACAACAACGATGTATCAGTATTTGTTGGGTTGTGCAGACAACAAGGCCTTGTCTCTTTCTGCTCACTCTCCATCAGGGCACGGAGGTCCCTGCTGCAGGCCTGGCCATGCCCTGGCTCTCTTTCTGGTAAATCGCCTACCGCAATTCAATTCTTCTTTCTGCAGGTTCCTCAGCTTCTCATTCTCCTCTGATGACATCTGTCTGTCTTTCTTACTGACAGTGACCTCCTGGGGGGTAGGGGCTGTTTCTTATCCAGTCTTACATCTTTGCAGCCCATCAAGGGTCTGGGCCTAGAGCTCCACCAATGCTTAAAAAATGGAATGAGTTGAACACACAACCCTCTTCTTTCTGTTTCGCCAGCTCGATGGCTTTTCTGGGTGCCAAGCAAGGATCCTTGAATCTGAGTCGAAGGAGACCTGGAGCCCAGGTGGCCCCTTGCTTTGGAGAAACAGCCCAAGCACGGGCCACATTTCTCACCTCAGCATCAGACCAGCTCCTCAGCTTCTGGAAGTATCCGTAGCAGCTGAGTTTGTGGTAAAACCACCCAGTGGGACAGTTTTGCAGTATGATGACATCTGCACATAAACAAAAGGCAATGACCAGTTAGGATGGCAAAACCAACCCATTCCCACACTTGGTCCAGTTTATAGACAGGAATCCCTTGACAGAAAGGGAGGCTGGGTGTCTTTGAACCAGGATCCTCCAAAGCTGCAAATTCTTCATACAGGGAGGCTGACTCCCAGCCTTTCCCAGAGGGAACTATGGCTTTCACCAGGGCAGCTGTGCACCGGGGAAAAGGAAGTCATCAGCTCCTTTGAGGCTTACGGGACACTGGCTCTGGACAGATACGGATTCCACGAGAACCAAAATGTGGGAATAGGGGCTCACAGAGATGAGCTGATCGATGGAGTTTTGCTGGGCTCAGGCCCATCTCACAGGGGGCCCAGGGGGTCCTCACACCCACGCTGTGGTCATTCCCCCCACAAGGGACTGTGTAATTGAATAGACACACTCAGCAACAGACAGAACTCAGCACTGGTATTGAGATCAAACAGCTATCATCCGAGGCATCGCAAGAGTGGGTGAGGGGCTTACACTGGTGGTTTCAGGCATTCTAAGAAGGGAGTGGGTTTTTGGTTTTGTTTTTGGGTTTTTTTGTCCAGGAAGACACAGGACAGGTAAAATGGCAACTTGGCTGAAACTTAAGAATAGGTGGGCTGCGAGTTAGTCGCACGGAGAGGGGACGCATTAGGTAAAGGAGGTGACTGAGCAGAGGGAGAGAAACAGGAATGTGTAAGATGGGCACAGAAAGAACAAGCATTTGTTTGCCTGAAGGGTTGGGTATCTGCCAGGCAAGCTTGGCAAAAAGGGAAGGAGAGTTCAGGGCCTATGAGCCAAGGCAGCGTGATCAGGGCAGGCAAAGCTCTCCTGCTAGGCGACTGGTGAACAGCCACGTCACTGAATCAACAGATTGCCTTGTTTAACTACCAGAACCTTCCTGAGAGATAGAGACGCTCTGGTATATACTATTGCACAGATAAGAAAATCTTCTCAATGAGGTGAAGTGACCTGCAGAGGTCCAGAGGTCACTCAGTTGGAGGGGAGGTGGGACCTGGGAGGGGCTACGTCCCTCCAGCAGCCCCGTTGCCCTGCCCTGGCCTTTCCCGGCGCTACAGCTCCTGTCACCCTGGGCAGGGACCAGAGCCCGCAGGTGCTAGCGTGTTGCCTGGACTGCTGACTGCCTGTTTACTCCACCACTTCTAGAAGTGGCCTCGGGGATATTATTTAACCTCTTTCAGCTTTAGTTTTCTTGTTTGCACAAGGGACTGACAACAGGTACCTCCCTCATTGGATTTTTGGGAGGATTAAATGGGATAATGCATGGACAGTGATTAGCATAGAGCCGGTAGTAATCATTGTTCAATAAATAGTAGCTACTTAACCAATTGTAGCTATTAAAACAATCATATTATCATTATAATCAGTGTGATATTTTTGAAAATAGTCACTAGATGGAGTCTTTTATTGTCCACAAATAATGATGCTCTTCACCTCCACATGTATTGAATAACTTGTTTCAAAAGGGCAACAGGGTAATGATCTTGACTATCAAGTCTCAGTGAGAGAGAAAATGTACTTCCCAGTTCCTCATACCCCCCTTAAATGCAAGATTAGGCTTTCCCCATAAGCCACAATACAAAGAATACATAGCGTGTGTCGTGAGAGGTTGTCCCAAGACAGTAATAAGAAGTAGAAAGTCTTTGTACAGCCGGGAGGAAGAGCTGTGAAAAAGGGATGGGTGGACCGGGGGTGGGTGATCTGGCTTCACCTTCTCCAGGAGAGGCACTGGAAAGGTTTGGTGAAATCCTGGAGTTGGGGATGGGGCTTGTGTCTCATGTCCCAGGACGGAGCTCAGGCAAATTTCAAGCTGCCCTAGCAAAGCCAGAACCAGAGCAACAGGAACTACCTGACTAGTTCCTGACTAGCTGGTTAGACACGGCTGTTGATGAGGGCTCGGCAGGAGGGGCCTGTCGGAGTCTTTACGCCCCAGCAGGGCTCAGAGACGGTGTCTGAGGGTCCGAGTCCTGAGCAGCCATACATGGTTGAGACAGCCAGTGGCTGGACCGCAGACTTCAGCCACGGCCACCCACGTGGTGCCCAGAGAACCCTGCTTCTCTTTGTATTCCCTTCCGATCGATCCTCCCTCTGGGAGAGGTGCCAGGTCATCCACAGCACCACACGCCTCAAGAGGCCCTCTTCTCAAAAGAAGTGCTGCTCGGGCACAGTTCCCTCACGTACCCCTGCACATGCAATGCCCAGCAAGGCCGCTGGAGACTCCGAGGCCCCTGGGACCAGCAGCCAGAGTGTCCCATCATCGTACTGTGTGGCCTGGGCAGGTCTCTACCCTTCCTCATCATTAGAACAATGGAGTTACACCAGATGAGCCCACATTTCATTTCCCTCCAATGCTGATATTCAGTGATAATTATTTTTAGCTCACTCATGTAGTTTTCTTCCCATTTTCTGCCCTGGTGAATTCTAGGGTACGGCTTCCCACTTAGTTGACATATTGCTTTATGTGTGATGCTGGGTCTATACCTGTGTAGAAGCCATTTTTCCAACCAAAATTCCCTGTATGTTCAAATAGGAAAGCAATGCCTAAACATTAGTAGTTCTGATTAGAGCTCTCACTTATGAATGTCTGGCTGTCAGGAAATCGAATAATAAACCCTTCAAAATAAACTAAAATAATCACTATAATGTACATGTAGTTGATGACTTAACTATGGCTTACAATCATAGGAAGTTGGAATTTGATTCTAAATCCATGGCTTTTAAAATAAATAAATAAATAAATAAATAAATAAATAACCATATCACATTGTCGTTCATTCCTGCCTTTGACGTCTATTTCCTGTAAGTGCCTGAGTATTTTGGGGGGGAATGAGTCTGGCTGCGCCATGAGTTGCATGAGCACGGGCTGCGGGCTCCGTTCCGGCGGAGTGGCTGGTACTCACCCCCCAGGACTTGCGTGCTGGCCGCGCAGCTGAGCAGTAGGAGCAGCCACACGCTTCTGGCAGTCATCTTCCTCTTCCCCTGCGGACGGACGCGCTTCGGAAACTGTCACCAAGAGGATCTCAGAGCCCTGGTCAGTATTTGCCTGAAGCTCCCGGATTCACCTAGATCTGCAATCTGAAAGCATTTGCACTGGTGAGATGGATCGGGAATTTAGATGCCAACTCATATCCGGAGAAAAAAAATATTTGTCTGGCTAAACCAGTAAAGGGTATCTCAAACTCAGTATTTAGGAGATTTTAACTTATGAGGTGGTGCTCTCACCTGCGCGGTGTCTGGGCCACCACCCAGGACCTAACTATAGGTCTGAATGATTGAAAAGTAACCAAATAGAGGCATTTGGTATATTGTGGAGAGCCGCCCCTGCCATTCTCAGGATGGCCAGCAGAGGGCGTCACAGGCAAAATTTCTCATGGATGAGGCTGAGATGGGCTTCCAATAACCAAGTAATCAACTCAGTCCTAACAGTGACTTATTTGGTGTTAGATTCAAAAGTGAACATGTGGTCTAATATGCACATTTTACAGATGAGAAAACATGAGGTTGATGGTTCTGAAGTCATTTGCTCATTGTCACACAGCTACAATCAGATTTTATGACTTCAGCTCAACCCTTTTATACTTAGGTGATCACATTTTGTTTTTTTTTAAAGAAAAGAAAACTTGCAGCAAATATTGCCCACAAATAGTGTGCCCAAGCAGATATAAATAGATGCCTACTGGGAATTTTGGTGAAATTTTGTTTCCTGTTAAAGATATAACCCCTTCCTTTCAGCAATGGTTGGTAGTTTTCATTGTACAAGTCTTCTACCTCCTTGGTTAAATTAATTCCTAAGTATTTTATTTTTTTCTTATGTTATTGTAAATGGACTTGTCACTGCTAGTGTAAAGAAATAAAATGCTTCTTGTAGTTGATTTTGTATCCTGCTACTTTGTTGATTTCATTTATTCATTCTAATAGTTTTATTTTCTATGTGTGTATAAACTCTTCAGAGTTTTCTACATATAAGATTATATGATCTGTGAACAGAGATAATTTTACTTCTTCTCTTCCAATTTGATTGCATTTGATGCCCTTTTCATTGCTCTGGCTGGAACTTCAAGTTCTATGTTAAATAGAACTGGTAAAAAACAGACAGTTTTGCTTTGTTTCTAATCTTTGAAGAAAAGCTTTCAATGTTTCACAATTGAGTATGATGTTCACTTGTGGGTTTTTTATTTATGGCTTTTATTTTTTTAAGTATATTTTATTGATTGTGCTATTACAGTTGTCCCTTTTTTTCTTCTCCTTTATCCCTCTTCACCCTTCCTCCTGTACCCTCCTTTCCTCCAGCATTCCCCCACCTTAGTTCATGTCCATGTGTCGTACATACAAGTTATTGGGTTTCTCCATTTCCTATACTATTCTTAACCTCCCCCTGTCTATTTTCTACCTGCCAATTATGTTTCTTATTCCCTGTAACCTTCCCCCCATTCCCTCTTCTCCCCCTCCCCACTGATATACCTCCATGGGATCTCCATTTCTGTTCCTGTTCTAGTTGTTTGCTTAGTTAGGTTTGTTGTTATTTTTTAGGTTCAGTTGTTGATAATTGTGAGTTTGTTGTCATCTTACTGTTCATAGTTTTGATTTTCTTTTTCTTAGATAGCTCCCTTTAACATTTCATATAATAAAGGCTTGGTGATGATAAACTCCTTTAACTTGACCTTATCTGGGAAGCACTTTATTCGCCCTTCCGTTCTAAATGACAGCTTTGCTGGATAGAGTCATCTTGGATGTAGGTACTTGCTTTTCATGACTTTGAATACTTCTTTCCAGCCCCTTTCTTGCCTGTAAAGTTTCTTTTGAGAAATCAGCTGATAGTCTTGTGGGAACTCTTTTCTAGGTAACTCTCTCCTTTTCTCTTGTTGCTTTTAAGATTTTCTCCTTACCTTTAATCTTGGGTAATTTAATTATGATGGGTCTTGGTGTGTTCCTCTTTGGCTCTAACTTCTTTGGGACTCTGAGCTTCCTGGACTTGCATGTATATTTCCTTCATCAGATTGGGGAAGTTTTCTTTCATTGTTTTTTCAAGTAAGTTATCAATTTCTTGGTCTTCCTCTTCTCCTTCTGGCACCCATATGATTTGGATGTTGGAATGTTCAAAATTATCCCAGAGGTTCCTAAGCCTCTCCTCATTTTTCTGAATTCTTCTTTCTTCATTTTCTTCCAGTTGAATGTTTATTTCTTCTTTTTGTTCCAAATCATTGACTTGAGTTCCAGTTTCCTTCTCTTCACTGTTGGTTCCCAATTTCCCTTTGTCTCACTTTGTATAGACTTCACATCTTCCTTTATTTTGCTACCATACTCAGTTATTTGTGTGGGCATCCTGATTACCAGTGTTTTGAACTCTGCATCTGATAGGTCAGCTATCTCCTCATCACTTACTTCTTGTTCTGGAAAGTTGATCTGTTCTTTCATTTGGGCCTTATTTCTTTGTATTGGAGCTCCTGTTACGTTGTAAGGGGCCAAGCCTTAGGTATTTTCCAGGGCTGGGCAATCCACGTGGAGTTGTGGAGCTGTATGTGGGGGAGGGGTCCGAGAAGGGACCATGCCACTGGCTCTTGCTCTGCTTTCAGCCACTTCCCTCCTTCCAACTCTTAATCAAATTGGGCCCTTCTGGTGCTGATTCCCAGGGATGGATGGGCTTGTGTATGTTCTAGGATCCTGTGGGCTCCTCCAACAGACTCTCCTGCGAGGTTGGGAGTTTCTCCTGCCACTGAAGCCCCCACAGATTTTTGTGGCCAGAGGTTTTGAGGGTTTCTTATTCTGTGCTGGAACCCCGGGTTGCACGGTCTTTCTTGCTCCCCAGTTGCTCCTCCCAATTTATCCACACGTGAATGTGGAACTGTCTGGTCTGCCAGCTGCTGCCTTGCCTTTTTTCCTCTCCACCCCAGATGCCTGTCTCTGCTGCTCCTACCAGTCTGGATGAATGTTTCTTCTTTGACTCCTTGGTTGTTGGACTTCCATACAGTGTGATTTTCTGGCAGTTCTGGTTGGGTTTTTTTGTTCTTAAATTGGTTGTTATTCTTCTTTTGGTTGTATGAAGAAGTGAAGTGTATCTACATACACCTCCATCTTGGCTGGAAGCTCCTATTTATTATGTTGAGATAGTATCCTTCTATTCTTAGTTTTTTACTATGAAAAAAGGGTGTTAAATTTTATTAAATGCTTTTCCTTCATCAAGTGAAATAATCACATTTTTCCATCATTTTTAATGCACTGCATTATATTAATCAATTTTTACCTAGTTAGCCATCCTTGCATTCTAATAATAAATGCCATCTGGTTATAGTGTATAATCCTTTTTATATGTTGATGAACCTGGCTTGCTAGTATTTTGTCGATGCAAGAAATACTAGTAAATAAATTTTTAAAGCTATATTTTGCTGCCCTGAATAAATACCAGGCTTCCATTAATAAAAGAGAAAGCGAGAAATGATTATGGCTACACAATTAACAATGTTGGGTACTAAGTCATTACATTTGCACTTTATGGGCGACCAAGTACATTCAACTATGTATAAAATAACAATGCAATTATTTTATAAGACTGTTAGGGTATCTGGGGATTATATGTACTTAAAAATAAAGAAAATTAATACATATGGCAATTGTTTAGGTAAAATTTAAAAAATTACAAAAACTTGAATAATCATGATTTACTATTTACCTCAACAATAAAACTTACATTTATAATAATAATAAAAAGAAAATAACTGTTATCTTTTTCCATCATCTAACAGTACATGAATTATTGACTGACCAATGAAAAATTAGAAAACAGGAAGTGAATCCCATCTCCCAGAGAGAAAAAATTTAGTTACTAGCTCAAAGACATCTGTGATTTTATATAAATGGAGTCACATAAGTCATGTAACCTGGTTTTGTTTCTCAGAAATGAATTGATTGTAATAAACCTCTTCCACTCACATAATTTTTATGTAGTTTCGATTCTTTCTTTAGTGTAAATTCACAGACACAGTGTTACAACTTCACAGAACTTGCTCACTGTCACATTGCTCCCTGAGGCTAAGATCCCCTCTGTGGGGCCATGCCGTGTGTCCGGCTAACAGTGCCCAGGAAGGCTGCTTCCCCGAACCTCAGCGAATGCCTGATCTGTCCATTTTTTTCTTCAAATTTTGATCTATTAGAGAAAAACTTCATTGTTGTTGTTCATTGTAAATAAAAAACTTCATTTTTTAAATGCTAACAAAATCGAACACTTCTTCATATGATGATTACTTTTTAATGTTTCTTTTGTAAATTTTTGGCTTAAAGCTTTGCACATTTTTCTGTTTAACTTTTTATCTTTTTTTTTTTTCAGGTATTTGTGAAGCCTTTCTTTAACACTTATTGTCTTTTGTATATTACTAAGAATATTTTGCAGTTTGTATTTTCTCTTATTTATCTTTTTTACCACACTGAAAATTTCAAAAATTGTGATATCTGTCTTCTCCTTTATAACTTTTGGAATTTACATAAAAAAAAGAAAACTGGCTATGACCCTCTACATTGCCACCCATATTCTCCTCTATTTTTATCCATTTGGTCCAAAATTTTTCCCCAAATGATTATTAAGATGGGCAATTCACTGAATTCTCATTTAAGCATGTTTTATGACCCAAAAATCAGGATATATGTTCTAATTCTCAAATAATAGATTCTCATGGGGAATGATGGAGCATATAATATTTGAAATGGAAACTTTCCTGGAAAATCTAAAGGTTAGTTCCATATTCGAGTCCATATGAACACATAGACAGTGTTGATGAAGAGGAAACAAAAGGATGAAGAGTATGGGGTGTGAGGATCACCGCCCCCCTTTATTAAATCATTGCATTAACCCCACATCCCTCTGACACACTTCCCTTCCAAAAATGATGGAGGTATTTTCCATGTCTTGAAACCCTCTTAACACACAAATAGTCAGAATTTCTCTGTCAGGCCAACTGTCTGGGGGGAGGGAGGTA